TAGACATCGAATTCAACGTATTATTACACCTGGACACCGAAAACTATAAAGCGCACTATCTGGACCTCGTCATCGGCAACCTGGGATACCTAGACATCGAATTCAAGCTTGATTCATAAGAATCGACTTAAAAATTCCCTAGCGACACTTTTCTGCCAAGCGTAGAGAACCTTCTTTTCCGGCAGCGGTGGTAATACGATGTAAGGATACGAAATCTCTCCAGATAAACATGAAGCAATTGACTCAATATATATTATATAAGTATATACCTAATTTACCTAAATAGAAATCTTCCTCCTGACCGATAAAGTCTATCGACCTAATTTCGAAATACGCGCGCGATATCGAAACTGGCGATACCTGCGCCGCCAGCGTCGAAAAAGTGAAAGTAACGTTTCTGATTATGACGTCATCATACAAGAACGTCGGCGTTAGGAGGAGGAAGTATCTTAAAAATAAATTTTCCCATTTGGACTTTGCGTCGCAATATCTCCGCTCGTAGGGCACGTAGCGGAATATTATGAGAGAAACCCCCCCCTAATTGGACCCCAAGCTATCGATCAAGCCTACTTAGAACTTGATCCGTTCACTCGTTATCGAGATCTCAACATCTCGGGTACTCGCAACCCGTCGCGTCGCGTAAAAGAGTCACGGTCGGTCTCGCTCCGCGTGTACTTGGCGCGAGACACTACCGTGTCTCTTGATATAAATTTTTTTACACTATTCCTCAAAAAACTATTAATAATTTACAATAAAATACAGTACGTTTTCATTTACTTTATTATATGTATCTGCAAGTATAATCTTATGAATTAATATATCTTTCGCTTTTCTTTTGATTGTACATGTTACATTGATTAAGGCAACAAGAAGCTATATTCATATGCAATCAGGTGTGTTGTGTATTAATATAATGTTTTACAAGCATTCTGACTCTTTAACAACTTTCCTTGTATATTGTCGACATGTTTCAAAGTAAATAACTTTCATATCTATATACATAGAAGATAAAATTGCGTAACTAAAATTAAAAATAACGCTCTTTTTGATATATGATACAACTTTTCAAAAGATAAAAAGATATAAATACATGTTTTTACAATTTTAGCCCGATTAATTTGTATAAATAATTCGTTTTTATTATTATTAAATTTGCTACACTTACAAAATTTTCAGTAATTAATAATCAAATAGACTGAGAATAACAGAGATGTAATTTTTCTATATATGTTCATTTAGTTGCAACTTTCCCCATAGCCATTTTCATTCCTATAAAAATAAATCTTATATTTTGTAAAATTATGGATACACAAAAGAATTTCTAAAATAGCACAATATAATTATACATATATTTACGATTATTAAAATCATACATAGGTTTATTGTGTTGTGTAAATAATGTTCAGAATACTTTAGAAGAGATATGGGATATATGTAGGTTTCATTACGCTGTAATATATTTACGACAAGCACACCGTTTCTAAAATCGACAGTTTCTTATACGCACTTTCCTATTCCATATGGAGAAACAAAATGGCGGCTTTATCGATATATCGCACCTATCGATTTCAATGTCGCTTCTCTATTATCTAGGACTCTACCGAAGATCTGTTCGTAGAACTCACCGTCAAAAGAAAAACTAGTGGAGTTAAGAATCATTTTGATAGCGTGTAGAAATTGGTCCAGATTCATGTTAATTTTTAGTTGTTAATCTATTCTATGTTAATTTTTACTTGTTGTAATATGTTAAAAATAATGGTAGTATAACATAATTTCTTAATTTTTAAAGTAAAAAATATTACAATAAAAAATTAAGGAAAATATAGACAATTTAATATTTTCCGTATCCATGCTTAAATACTGGTATAATGTTTCTGAGTAGTTAATTGGATTGAAACTTACCTATCTATGATATGTCCAGTTAAAAGTTTTCCATTACTGCATGCCATAGCTACTTGCGTACTATCGCTAGACCAAGCTATGCTGTAAATACTCCCAGTATTTACTTTTTCCATAGAATGTGACCACTAAAACATGAAGAGAATAGATTCATAAGTTATGGGAAAGATTGCAATTATAAAGTCATACAACAAAACTACCTATCTTCACTATATACCGCTGTTCCTCTTTTTCATTGAGTCAACGTATCATTATTTATTATTTTATTTTATTTTTATTTTTCTCTTAAAATTGACTATATTTTAATCGGTTTTTTTTTTAATAAACTCTCTGCATTTTAACTTTAATTTTAAAAAGGTTTATTTTTAACATCTTGATTGCTCCCAACTTTTAATAAAATTATAATTTTTTAAAGCTAAACAATTAAATTATAGAGCAAGGTGCTGTACCTTGGGTACAGCTGTAGGTTGGAACACTCTGTCATAATCGAATAGTGTTTGCATCTGGTAATAGTTTATAGTATTAATTATTAAGTTAAAGGATGCTCTCTTTAAATCTATGGTTTTGTGTCATTGCGATTATTTACACGTAAGTTATATCGACTTTTGTATTTTATGACGTGTAAAGTAAATTTATTGAGATTTGTACTGTAATTTATGTAATTTTTTATAATAAAGATATTGATCAGCCAAGGCTAGTAAAAATGTGTCAAATATGTAGAATAATGTAGTAAATTATGTAGATGTAAATTATGTAGTTAATATGTAGAATAATGTAGTAAATTATTTATAACCTATAAGATGTTAACTAATTTTTTATTAGAAATTGATTTCTATGTACCTTGGAACATGACGGTTGATGTACCTTGGAACGCTATTTCAAAAGTACACTAGTTGATTGTTATCTTTATATAACTTTTAGTTATTTGTTTAACTAAATTTTTTCCATTTTTACTGACAGTTAGAATAATTGAAAGCTATTTGTATTATAGCTACCATGCCACGTAGTAAACGTGGAATAAAAAAGCCAAGGCCGGATGCTGAAGCTCTAATATTTGCTGTAAATGCAATTTTAGAAACTAAAACGACGAAAGTATTTTACTGAGAGAAGCAACAAAAATATATTTTTAATGTATTGTTAATGTAAAATTTTATTGTTCGTTAAAAGATGCCTAAAGAATTTATTAGAATTAAGCGTTGATATTATTTTCATTTTATTTTATTTTTATTTTTTCCTTTTTGTTTTATTTTATTAATAAATATTTTATAAATAAAAATATTTTATTAGAGAGAAAAATAAAAACAGTTTAGAAAAACACGCAAGATTACTTATAAAATTTATAAACGGTTGTTTTTAGTTATGACGTTAATGATTTATCTCGTTAGATTTGATTTTCATTTTCAGTTTAATAATAATTGATCAAAATGTAACTAAATTTAATAAAATATTATATATATTTTTTTAAAGGGCCTAGCGGAGTAAGCATGTGAAATCGGCCCTTGATCATACAGAGCTGACATTAATGTCAAGTTAGTACCAATATGATAAAACTTTCCACCAAATATTATTTTAAAAAATTCATTTTTTTAGAAGTTATGCAGGGAGAAAGTAAAATAAAGAAATGTATTTTTCTCGAAAACCACTTGACCGATCTTGATGAAAAAAAATATATGTTATGTAGACTAATACAACTAATTACAAAAAGAATGTCCAAAATGTTTGCCAAAAAAAAGACAAAAAAAAATATTTGAATTAAAATTAATAATCACGCTCGTCTAAATATAAAGATAAAGGAAAAAAGGCCGGTAATCGAGCAGTTATTAGGTGTTAAATCATGTAATTAATTAATGTATACAAAAGGCGGAACGTTTCAACTACACCGAGTCTTCATCAGCCGCAATATAAAATAACATATTTAGATTAACTTAATAATTCTAAACCTATAGAGCCACATCAACGTTCGAAAATCTGATGAATAACATTACGTTTGTGTCGTTGCATCTACGAAGTCGAAGGTAAAACCGAAGATAGAATGTGGTCAGCGACATTGTATAATCAATTCCTCGTTCAAAGGCGGGAATAGATCGGGTCCAGTCCATAAGAATCGTTGTTATTAACAAGTTGTACGGTCAGAATATAAAAAGGATTGTCTGAAAGGCGATCGTATGTTACTAAAACAATTTTCGTAGATATAAAATCCGTTAAAACTTACAAGTATTTGTCAAGACGTGGTATGTACGACGTAATGCTCTTAAACGTGTTACGGTTGTCAAATGACTGCGCGGATTGTCGGGAACGGACGGAGTTATAAACAAATAACAGTGTGTTGGATGTATATCGAAATTCGTTAAACTTTGTGATTGGCTAGCTCGTCAAGTATGCTGAAATATGAGTCGTCAAGAAATTATGTGTCTGTATTAGAATTGATCCCGTTTTTTTGTTCCTTAATGTGTAACATCTCTGAAATAAGTCTCTTATAAAAATTTGGTTCGGAGTCGAATATCGATGTATTGTCCCAATCAAAAGTGTGATTGAATTTTGTAATGTGTTCGGAAATCACAGAATGCTTTAATGGATCCGTTTGTTACATTTGTTACATTTAAAAAACGTATACTACAGTTAAAAATGTTCAGTCATTTACAATAGGGAAGCTTAGTATCGACATGGTAGAAACAATTTTACCTTGAATGTACGCAGAATCCCAAGCCAATTCCCAATAAGTTTCATTGCAGTAATATGCAACTCGCAATAACTTACTATACATTGCAACGTAGTTAACGTCGCACGATCCATCGAGGCCAGCTCATACAAGACCATGCAGATAGAGCGCCAGATTTTGGGCGGGTCACTAAAGTTCCTGCCCTTCACAGTGCATTACTTCAAATACGATTTATACAGTGTTGTGCTTCTACACGTTTCTTTCTCTTGTTCGAGAAGAAATACCAAATCCTTGAAATTCACTCTTTTCAAACGTGGTCTCATTGGCATTTGCCTATTTAATCCGCTCGCCGATGCATTTGCGCCGGGAGTGCTGTTGGTCGATCCTGCCACATCGAGTTTAGGCTTCTTCCGAGGACCAATTGCTTGCAAAGCTGTTAAATTCGCCTCTCTTTGTCTCAATTCTTCCATCTCTGCACGTTGCATCTCATTGGCCTTAGCTTTTAATTTCACTTGCTCAGGATCTTCTGTTTTTGAACGACTCTTTGCAGCACGTAAAAGCATTTCTCGTTCTTGTTCTTCGTGCTTCTTACGTTCAACTCTATCTAGATCTTCCAAAAATTTTAATTGCGCTCTTACATCTTGTGTTACTTTATATTGTAAGATGTAATATGTGAAATGTAATAGTGTGAGCACGCTACCATCCACCACCCTATGATTCTCCCGAAGTGGGAGGCGGGTGATTTGCGCATGCCCATCGATCCGCGATCCGATGATCGACGGGACCGAGCGAGGCTCGGTCTCTTTCGTTGTGGGGACTCCGAGCCGGCCACACTTAATTCTAAATACGGGCCTTACGAGGAGCGGACTGACTGTGGATTGAGAGGCGAGTCAGGATAAGGCGATCAAACTTATTGCGGAGCATTACGGCCCAGCATTCTATCAGCCACGTGAGGCAAGGGTCCCCGGAACAGGCGAGAGAGCCAACGAGGGAAGCGCAGGAGGTTCCCGAGCACGCAGATGAGTACTTGTAACACGAACTTGAATCGTGATCGGCACGCGTCCTCGGAGAGTATAATAATTCTCGCGCTATACAAATGTATCCATATATCGCATTAGTATTCTCTTAATTCCTATCGAGACGCGTACATTTTGATATGACGACCATCTTCGGCGTGACGCATAATGAGCGATAAGTGACCGCGAGGATATTTATTTGGCGAGTGAGTGAATGTATGAAAAGCGTGCGTATAGAGGCGGTCTCCGGAGAGCGATATTTGTAGCCATTGTTAATTAAAATAAAACTGCGGATACACTTTGATAAATATCTCGTTCGATGAATGCACGTCCCTTCCCGGGAATCGAGTCATCTTTTGTATAAGTAAGGTTTAAACAAATAAAACAGATCTTACAATATCTAGGATCAACTTTTATAAGATATATCCTATGTTCTGTGATGACCGCTAACTTTTCTACTAAATTCTTTAACCTCTCTTGAACAGCATGCGAGATTAAAGCTGCTACTTCTTGGTTAGGTTCTTCCAATCCGTGACTGGATGCAATTTGTTTAATTCTTTGTTGTAATGGTGTCATGTGCAAAAATACTTCATCTTTACAGGATCGTAATTGAGTACCAACAAATTCTGTAGAACCGAGTATTCTTTGAGATTCCTCCGCAAGATTAACACCGCCCATAGCTGCTACATCATTTATATCATCATCCGCCGTATATCCTGCTGACGAAAACGACTTTTTCTCTTTCTCCTTTGCAGTCGGTTTCTGAACAAGAAAAGGCACTACGGTTTTATTAACAGTAGTGGTTGTATTGAGTGTTTTGCCTTGCGTAGTAGTGACTGGTTTTACAACGTGGTTGCGACTGTGGGTGGTTTTTGCACAACAGGGGCAGTGGGGCGAATTCCAGTTGTTGCTGCTGTCGTTTTCACAGCATATGCTGCAGTTGGGCTCCGAACCACTGTCGTTACTGGTCGAACC